TAACTGGAGAAGATGATAATATCTACCATTTGTGTGGTCTATTTCAAGCCAAGTGCTTTACAATAATTAAATCACTTAATTCTCACAGCCATGCTACTGGTCAAGAACAGTAGTTGACTCTACAGATATGGGAAAACCCAGGCTCAAAGAGGTTCAATCCCTTTGACAACATCACACAGCTAAGAGGCAATGAAGCTGGAATTCAAGTGCAGTCTTCTAAGTCAGTGTAACACTCTGAAAACTCAATACAGTATTGAAAGTTGGTTAGAATGCTGGTTCTGTTTGCTCTTAGGATACCCTTAGACCACATAAGTTTCCAGACATGGCTTGATTTATGTTTCCAACCGTAATGATTCCCCTGAACTCTGCACTTGAGTGTCCAACTAATATATCCAATGTAGCACTTGCCAAATGGAGCTACTCACCTAGGCTGGCCCATCTCAGTAAATGGCAAATTTGTTGTATCATTTTATATCCACTCCACCAACAAGTCTGTTGGCTCTATCTTGAAAACATATCTGGAATTCAAGAACCCTGGGGAAAGGCTCCATCATGACTCACTTATTGGCAACAGTCTCCTAGCTTCTAGTCTTGTTATACAACAGCCAGAATGGTTCATGTACAATGCAAATCAAATCATGTCATTCCTCTGAATCCCATGTCTTTACCTGGCCCTATGGACCCTGAAGCACCTACTTATATCTACCCTTCCACAAGGTAAAACAAAACCAACTTGAAACACCCTAATTCCCCGACAAGGACCACACATCCCACAGCCACTCACCCTTAGCAGGTCCCCAGCAGGCTAGGCCTGTGTCCACCTCAGGACATTTGCACTTGCTGTCCCCTCTGCTGAGGATGATCTTCCCTAAGCTGTCCCTGGAACTGGCTCCCTCCCCCAATCAGAGGGGACTCCTCTCTCTGCCTCTTCTAAGTCAAACATATGTGGGCATTCTTTGTGCTATTTTTTTCAAATTTTCTGTGAAGTTGAAAATTTTCAATTTAAAAAATAGTGTGGGAAAGAACATAATGCAAATCCTATAGTTCCCAAAGTAATAAATAAAAATTTTCTGTTGAAAGGATGAAAGAATGAGTGTTAGACAACTACCCAAGCTGTGCTCCCAGGCTCCATGCACAGAGCAGACATGCAGATGGCCTAGGGACAGTGGTCCTACCCCACCTCCGGAAACTTGTAGCTGCAGTCTGTTTATCTGGCATTGTCCACTAGGCTAAGAACAAAGGATTTTAAAGCTGACCAAACTAATGTTACAATCTTGCATAACAATCTTTTTTTTAAAGACTTTATTTATTTGTTTGTTTGTTTGTTTGTTTGTTTGTTTTTTAGAGAAAAGGGAAGGGAGGGAAAGAGAGAGGGAGAGAAATGTCAACATGCGGTTGCCTCTCGCACACCCCCCACTAGGGACCTGGCCCGCAACCCAGGCATGTGCCCTAACTGGGAATCGAACCAGTGACCCTTTGGTTCACAGGTCAGTGCTCAATCCACTGAGCCACACCAGCTAGGGTGCATGACAATCTTAAGATGAAGTCTCCAACTTGGCCAGATACTTCAGCAGTCACCGGAATCAGGTAGAAATGCTGTGAAATCAGCATCTCTTCCATTTACACCATGCTTCTTGAGGCATCTGTGTTTGTTATAATTTAAAAAAGAGTTCAAATATTTAATTTTTAATAAGGTGCCAACGTTTATGCAGAGTGTTACAATAAAAAAAAATTGCTTTGTGGGCACTCCAACACCAAATGCGAATAGATCTCGTAAAAGTCACACGTAGGCTTGTTCCCAGCACGCGGAGGCTGGTGAAAAGCTTGTTATGACCACATGGATGAAAATGGAGTCTGCTTCCTGCTCCCTGAGCTAGGCGCACAGGCTCTGCCCTCCTGTAAATCACTGCAGAGGTTGGAAGCTGAGTCTGATAAAGCACTGGCCGGTGAGGTTAAAACGGAGGTGTACTATGACAATTATGTAATTCACTTTCCAACTCCAGTTTTTTCTCCCTTCCAGCTCATCACCTCATAATGAACACTGAGCAGTATTTGCATGTGTTGATCATTTAAAGTAACCAGCTCTCACCTAAGTGAAACAAACTGCTCAGAGTTTTTCCATTTCTGCGACTTATTAGGACCAAAAATATATCTACTGACCTGTCTTCTCCTTTGTGAGGACTTTGCGAAGAACTGAATGGAGAAATTTGAGATTGCCTGGTCCTAAGTAACAGCAAACCCTGAATGCTGATTTGCTTCTAGCACGTTCCCTTTCTCTAAAAGCCATGCACACACCTGCATTTCCAGACTTCTATGACACAGTTCCTTCATAACAGAAAGGGCAACAGATAGGTTGATATGCCTGCTTAGAGAACTCCTTTTCCATTGTGTATTTATGTCCATTTACATTTAAAAAATGATTCAGAAGGAATCCAGTAAGTTCTACAAATGTCTAAAGCCTTTGGTTCTAGAAAAAAGAAATAAAAATGTTCCTCTGAAAAATGTTTATTTCATCTCCACATCCCAGTTCCACTCCTCTTGCTCATCAGATCACCAGGTTACGTGATGAAGTGCTACAGTAAATACTTTCTGAATCCCTACCCACACGTTTTTTAACAGGGAGTGACAAAGCTGAACAGCATGTTCCCCATGGAGTGTGGCCAGTGGCTGAGTGGACCACAGGGCTGAGTTAGGGCTCCAAGGGAGGAAGGCAATTGGCTCTGGTAGTCCCTGTTGCAAACTCCCCCATTCTTGACCTTAACCTGCCTGTCTGACACTGGCCTTTAGTTGAGAAGAGCCTGGACCCTACAACAAATTGGAGGTTCAACTTATGAAGGAAAACAAGGTTAGGTTATTTAAGTCAAGTAACAATCCCAACTGTTCCCCGTGAATTCAGACATCCCTACACTAAGCATCCCCATGCTAAGCATCCCTACGCTAAGACACAACTTCCCTTGATGACCTTGGCCCAGAGGGAAGTACCCTCCCATCCCTCCATGGCCTCAGCTGGAGGAGGAGGACATTCTCTGGTGTCACTGACCTTTGGCTGTCTTTCCACTGTTTTGTGTTCTCTACTGAAGCTCCTTGTTTTCAGCTAAAAGGGCGTCCTGGATTATCTAAATCCAGGCTGTGACTAATACTCTTTGGGAGGCCACACGGGAATAAGAGGGGAACTACATGAAGCAATCCTTAAAGACTTTTCCAGATTTAAAGTCCAGGAAAGTCCAGCTTCACTTGCATTTGTTCCATGGAAACCCAACTAACAATACTAATATTAGGATCTGTTGCTCAATACGTATGTGCCGTGGATGAGACAACAAGTTTCATTCTATCATGAGACTGAACACTGAATTCCCTACTTCTGTATCTGCTCACTGAAGTGGCTATCTGATATTATTTTGGAGGGAGCCAATTACAGAAACAAATTTTCCATAGTTTGTCAGCATAATCTGATTTAAACATTTTAAACACATCAACTAGAAATTTTCATAGAAAGCCACTTTTAGCTAGGTTTTTATCCAAGATGAACATTTTTCTTTGGGCTAAGAAAAGATGTTCTGATTAGGAGTTCTCTGTCACATCTGAGAGAGGAGCGGGGACTATAAGATTAGAAGAAAGTGTTCAAAGGGCTCCAGCAAACCAAGATAAAGAAGACAGGAAGGACAACGACAGGGGCACAACAATGGCATCCAGTACAGCACACAACACCCCCCTCCCAAGGATCAATCCCCCCCTTCCTCATTAAGAGAATCTAAATCTTGTTCGGAGAGTAATATGCCTCACTAAACATTGTCCTTCCCCAGACTCGCGTGCAGCTGGGGGAGCCATGTGACAGAATTCTAGCCAAGGGGTGAAAGCTGGGCATCTCTGGGACAGCTTTGCTTTCTTGATCTTATCATTGCACCTATTACTTGCCTCTTCCTGCTTAGAAAGCAGACATCGTACCAGAAGTTCAGTAACCATCTGGAGACTATGCTGCAAAGGATGGTGGAAAAAAATACCAAAGAGTGTGGACCCTTAATGATATTATGCAGATGATGGTCCTGAGTGTGCAGTCCCAGGTTTCCTATTCAGCTTGTCACTGTTCATTGGGTTTTCTACGATTTGGAGCCAAATGCTCACCTGATACATCAATATCCAATGATGAGACTGAGAAGGGTGAGAACGACGCAGTGAAAAGAGAAGAACAAAGACTAAAGAGATAGAGCAAACAGGGTAACTCTTATTCACATAGATCATACAGTGGACCTAACAAACACAGCTTAATTCCTTCCCTCAGAAAAGACAGAAGTCCTAACTGAAAGAATAAATGCATCATTACATTCAATACAAAGATGCCCAATGCACAAATTGGCTGTCTAGAATTTAACTCTGTCCTTCTGTGCTTTGATTGCTGGTATGAAAGTGCATGCTTATACATTAAAGCTGGGCATTTTGCATCCTACAGAGAAGAGAATGGAACAGATTTAGAATCAATTTAGTATTTCTCTTGCAATCCATTTGGAGGAGTTCCCACTGAGAACTCATATGCCTCACCCGCTCTGCAGCCGTATTTAATAAGATCTGAGAGGGAAAATAAGCAGTAACACTGGGTAGCCTGTTCTGACTCTTGTATAGGCTATTTGGAAATTAAAGCACACTTATGGCAAGCTGGCAATATATAGGATATGGCCCATAGAAAGTGCTGGACTGATCAATACTTAAGAATGCACAGGCAACGGCAATAAATAAATAAAGGAAATGGGATGAGGATGAAAATCAGTGTTTGGGTGTGTATACTCTCAAAATAAGGACGAGTCCCTTTGCATGGCAGGGAATACGGTGCAGCACTAAACATTCCAATAGTTCATCAGGCAGTCCCAAGATGCTGGACTTGCATAAAGAAATGATTTCTTCACACTCATCATAACAGGTGATACTGGTTCAGAAACTGATGGATAAGCAAAATAACAGACTGAGAACAGGAGCAAGAAATGGGATAGACATGCGTGAATCCATACTTGCAGCTTTCACTATGTTCAAATTTAATTTTTCTTTTCCAACAAAGTAAGTGCAAATATCTTTAGTCTGATTCAGTAACATAGCAGCAAAACTTCAGGAGCCAATAAATAAGGACACTGACACACCAATACCCTTTCCTTATGGACTCAAAGCTTCACAGACATCAGCTTTGAACAGAAGGGCAAACATTTCTTGATTGAGCATTTGTGTTCCATGTCCTTGGACAAACCACATCATTTACACCCACCCACATGCCCCCATAGCAGTTAGTAAAGTCATTAACAAACACAATTTGAAACTCATAAGGGGTTAAAGCTATAAAATACCTACTCATTGATGTATATTTTTTTAACAAAAGTTTTCATCTTTCTCCCCTTCCTTCCAAACACAGCTTTTGGATCATTCATTAGAATAATAACACATCATTTGTTTACTTCTCTTAAAATGACACAGTTGTTGTATTTTTCTCATAATAATTGCCATCTTGTTTCTAATTAAACATGATGGATTCAGGGTCCTGGTTTGCCATCTGGGCCATATGTCTCAGAACATCCTTTTTTGTAATGATGCCAAGAAGTCTCCTGGAGAAGAAACAAAATAAAGAAAAGAGGTCAACCTTGCCATACTGACTCATGCCTGTCTCTAAACACCAGTGCCTTTTTCCCTTTTCACCTGGGCATACAGAGAGACAACATTGCCCAGCTTCACTTACAGCTGGATGCAGCCAACTGAATGAGCTCTGGCCAACAGCATAGGCATGAGAGATGCCCCTTCCAATTTGCCCATACATTTCCTCACACTCTCCTCATCTGCCAATCAGAGGCAGAGGAGCCAGTCAGTGAAGGACTCTGAGGTCACATGGGATTGACTTAGGCGCCACCAGATTCAAAGACCTGGGTCCTTGAATGACTATGTGTTTCGAGCCCACACCTGCTACAACCCACACCGGATGTGACCCAGGGGGCGGGGGCGGAAATAAACCTAACACAACAGGCCACTGAGATTGCAAACTTATTTATTCCAGCAGTAAACCTATGATGACTAACACACACTCCTAAATTTCAAGATTCTAAACAATAAAATAAAAGGATTTTATCAGAGCCATTTTCAAAACTAGCCCACACCACAGAAATTCCAAGTATAAGGCATTTTAAATAAAGCAATTGATTCTATTTTAAATCTATCTTACTGGAAGGGTAGAGTTTGACATTCATTTCTGACCATATACGTAAATTACCTCCTCTTCCAAAATTCCATTGCTTTCAACTTAAAAAAACAATACCACTTACCAGGGTCCCTTGTATAGGGCCACCTAGACGGTATATTGCACAACTCCAGGGAGCACTGTTCACAAACACTACAATGTAAATAGTGCCTCCCTGAATTACGCAGTACACACTTGGACATCCATTCACGACAGCCCTTGCTTTGCTCTTGATTTCATTAAATATTTAAATGACCCCCTTCTGGCACAAATCATGTCCTCTAGGTACAGTGAAGGTGACATACACAACTTCTTTGGAGAAAAGAAGTTCCACTGCCAAATGAGTTTGCAAAATGCTGCTCACCACATCTCCATCACATCCAAGAAAAAGGGAATGGAGAAGTAAACTATGGCAATCTGACACTGGGATACTGTACAGCCATTAAAATGACAGGCTCCTCTGTATCTGCATATGTAAAATGATGTTATCAAAAAAAAAAGCAGAAAACACAATTGTAACACAAAGCCATTTGTCTAATTAAAGCCACATCAGTCCAACTCATCTCTTACTAATAGAAAGTCAATATTCAAGGGGGAGTTCAAGTATTCAGAGCAGTATTCAAGTCAGTTACATCTGGTAAAGCGCACACTGGTCAGTGCAACTGTCAGGGCAGAATTCTGACTTCTTTGTCCCTGATTGCACTGGACCTTCAAAAAGTGATTGATTTCCTGTGTGAGTTCCCCCCTCTGTCACACTGAGTTATGTCCACGTTATCTCATAGGACAGCTCAGGAGAGAGGAAAACAGCATAAAGGAGCCTTTCAAAGCATGCTAAGCAAAAAGAATACTGGCAACACGGATGACAAAACACTGCAATAAAGCATCATGACTCGATTATGATAACCCAAAAATGAGGAAACATGTAGAAAGCAGAATAGCATTACAAAACCAACATTTTGCAGCCCCCAATGTAAGAATTAGTTCAGTCAATAATTATCAATGGGTTCCAAAACCGCTGGGTGAATGGTTGCTGGAAAACAGAAAACTCACATGGTTTCAAAGCAACCCTCCACAGATTACATACAAAGAGAAAAATGTCCCTTTACAAGTGAGGGTTCCGGCCATCACCACCTCGTCCAAGTGATGGAGCTTATCGCCAACAAAGTCGGAAAAGCTGACATTATGACATCATCTACTTTGAAATGTTGCCAAAAACTACTTAAACCAAATCAAACCATGAGGAAGCAATCAAACAAATTCAGAATGTGAGACTACTGGTCTGGACTCTTCAAAAAAAAAAAAAAATCTACGTCACAAATAACAAACAAAAAAGGCAGGGAACTATTTTAAATGAAAGACGAATGAGGCCGAACAACGAAATGAAATGTATGAACCTTGAAGGAATTCTGGACTGAAATTTGCTATGATTTAGATATTGGGAGATAAAATGAATTATTATTAATTTTGTGTAATTACGGCTTAGTGGTTATGTAAAAAGAGTGTCCTTACTCTTAAAAGACGTATACTTCCTTCATAATTGCCAAAACTGGGAAGCAACCGAGATGTCCTTTAGTAGGTAAATGGATAAACAAACATCCAGACAAGAGAATATTGTTCAGTGCTAAAAAGAAATGAGCCATCGAGCCAGGTAAAGATGTGGAGCAACCTTCAATACATGTTGTCAAGAGAAGCTAGTCTGAGAAGGCTGTGTGATTCCAATCCTCTGACATTCTAGAAAAGACAAACCTAGGGATACAGTAACAAGACCGGCAGTTGCCAGGGGCTGTGGGGAGGTGGGGGAAGGGGAGATGATCAGGCAGAGCACAGAGGGTGTTTGGGGCAGTGAAACTACTCTCTGTGATACTACAACGGTGGGTGCGTGTTGTTCTCCTTTGTGAACAGAACACGCAACGCTAAGAGTGAATCCTAATGTGAAGTACCGATCTTTTCATAACAATGTATTGCTACTGGTTCATCAATGGCAACAAATATAGTACACCAGTGAAGATGTTAACAAAAGGGAAACTGAAGGGACAAGAGAGGGAATATGGGGATTCTGTACTTTCTGTTCAATTTTTCTGTAAACCTAAAACTGCTCTAAAAAATCAAGTCTAGTAATTAAAGAAAACAAAACCTTCGGAGGGGAGGATTTGCCTGAAGGGAGAGGGGTAGTAAAGAAGGATAAAGTCAAGAATTGTTGTTCTTCATCCTAGCTGTTTAGAGCTACTTGACTTTAAACTTGTTCACATGGGACTTTAAACACATTTCTGAAATTTATCAAAATGCAGTCAAACTGATGACGCCCCGGAAAACCAGATGCTGTTTACTAAACCTGCCGAGCCGAGTCTGAGTCCTGGCTCAGTCCGCTTGGGCTGCCATAACAAAGCACCACAGACTGGGTGGTTTAAACAACAGAAATGTAGGTTCTCACAGTCCTGGAGGCTGGAAGGCCGAGATCAAGGAGCTGACGGGGTTGGTTGCTGCAGAGGCCTCTCTCCTTGGCTTGCAGACATCTGCCTTTTCACTGTGACCTCACATGGTCCTTTTCTCTGTTTGAGCCTCCCTGGTGTCTCTTTCTCTTCTTGTCAGGACACCAGTCCTATCAGATTAGGGCCTCACTCACGACCTCATTTAATCTTAATTATCCCCTCAAAGGTTCCCATCTCCAAATATAGTCACATTGGAGGACAGGGCTTCAGTGTAAGAATTTGAGGTGTGGGGGGTGACATCATTCAGTGCATAACAGCCCTCAACTCTAATATAAAAATGGAATAGTGAGAAGGCTAGCAGAATGCCTGTGACACGCCACTAGGACAGCGTGATCGCAACAGAAACAGAAAGGGGAGCAGGTGTGAACAGTTGGGTTCGTCAAGGTGTGTTGGGACAGGGAGGGAAGGGGTTCCGCTGCTGGCAATTGCTGGCTAATGGATAATCCCTCAACTCAAAATGCTCTTTTGTTCTCTTTGAAATTCGTTTTCTACTTCAAAGCCTGGCTCAGGACATGCGCCTCTGGAGCACCTGGGTAAAACCACTTAGATTAGATTAGATTAGATTAGATGCCTGTCCCTTAGTAGATGCCGAGCTCCTTGGCTTTATTTTTCAAACGCTTTTTGAGCCTTCTCTGGGTCTCAGTCAAATAGATGCTCAGTAAGACGATCAAACCAATGTTGCTTCTAAAAATATGACTTGTTAGTGTTTGCAAAGTGCCAAGAACTCCACTATACCCAGCCCCCAACACACACATACACACGCTACTCTTCCCATATCTATAAAGCCTGGTTTTTATTTCCTTATCTTTACCCTGGAGACAGCATCAAAGATCAGGCTTTTGCCTAAAGCAGCCCTGACAAGCCCCCCTTCAAGCTCTGCAACTACAATGTCTGAAAGTCAAGCTGGTTACAACGGTTTGGCGGAAATACGAATTCAGGAGCTGCCTTGGGTGCAGGCATCAGCTGTGCCCTGGCCCGCAACAATAGTTACCGCAGAACAACCCTGCACATCCACCTGGAAGGAGGCGATATGAAATCCAGCGGGGTTCATTAGTGCTGTGAAACACCCCATTTGATTTAAATCAAGAGTTTGCACTTCCAGCCCTTTAGGTACTAGTTCAAGTGAGTTCGGTGACTGATAAATGGCCAATCTGTAACTGTGACCATAATTCGGATTAAAGTATCTGAGCTCCTCTGAGGCCACCGAGCAGATCTTGGGAAAAGCTGACACCATCTCCCCAGCTCGCTTGTCCTTTCTATATCCCATATATGAAAAACCCCACCGGATTCATTCCTTGCCACTGTAGGCTTCCTAGACTCCGACATTCTGGGGACAAAGGCTTCTTTGGTTCCTGGTCTGGTTTCACAACTACCTTGCACCCCAGGCCCCGAGAAATCCTGCGGATGATGCAGGTCAACAGGATGAGCTGGGCTCTCGGCTACAAGCAAGGAAGGCACACAGCGACAGAATAATCAAAAACGCGCGCTGGCTTAAGACATGCCTGCCCTGGCTGAAAGCCCGGGGAGATGAAAGGCCTTGCACACAAGGACCCCTTGCCAGCACTAACTTATCAGCATCTGTGTTTGTTTAAAATATGTAGAGCGAGAGCGAAAGAGAGAGAGAGAGAGAGAGCAAGAGAGAGCGATTTTGTTTTCTCATGGAACATTCGGAGCCAATTTCAGCACCCAAATCTTCACAGGAAAACCTCATGGGGCTCCGTGAGGTGCGAGCGGGCATTAGGAGCCGAATTTCCTGCCAGAGCTGGAAATTCCAATGATAACTGACATTTGGATGATTATTTTCAAGGAAAAGAGAAACTGGTATCCACTTGAGACGACATGGGTGATCACAGTAGTATTTATGCCAAGCGCTGGCAATCCCAGTACAGTACATAAATGGGCTTCAGTGTTTTGCCAAGTGGGGTCCCCCGACCGACAGCAGCCCCTTGGGGCTTGTTAGAAATATACGTTCTCCACCACCACCCAGACCCGGGCCGGGGCCCAGCACTCTGGAGTCTACCTGGAGGGTTAATCCTCAGGGATTCTGGTGCATGCTCAAGTTTGCAAACCAGAGTTCCTTTAAAAAGTCACAGCAAATATAATCTCTAGCCTCAATCATCCGTTTATTTGTTCCTTATTTATTGCCCTTCCCAAGGGCAAGACACCCCCAGCTGCTGTGAGAGCTAGGAGGACACCTGTCCTGTTGGAGTTCTCTGGGTCAATGTGCAAATCCAACTGCTGGCAGAGCCCGGGGCCGCTGTTAGCAGGACACTGGGAAGAAGGCATCGCTTGGCTGTTCTCTGGCACCCAGTTCAGGGTCTCTCAATTGCAATAGGAGTGACATTCTGGGCCCGATGATTCTTAGTTGCAATGGGGGCTGTGCTGTGCATTGTAGGCTGTTGAGCAGCATCCCCGACCTCTACCCACTAGAAACCAGCAGCGTTCCCTCCCCCCAGTCGCGGCAACCAAACTCTCAGGGCGGGGGGTGGGTGGCGGCAAAGTCAGCCAGCTTGAGAGGTGCTGGATTAAACTGGGCTGTGCTGGCTCTGAAAATGTAAACTCCGTCAGGGAGTGAAGCCTCTGGAGTCTATAAAGGCCTAAACTATACTTAGGGGACCGATGTCTCCACAACCCACGCCCCACATCTCCTACCCCCAGCCCATAAAGGAATGCACTGGGCAGACAACCAGAGGGTCCAGGCTGCCCTGACAGAGCCAAGCTCTTCCTCCTACCAAGCTTCCAAGGCCATGGAATTTGGGGTAGCCTCTGAGCTCAAGAATGGCCCTCAGGGCACTTCACCGCTCCTGCCATCACGACCCTTTGATCTTTGCAGCGCCGCTTGCCTGGTTTGCATAATCACAAAGCAAAAAGAATATTGCTGCTGCAGAGACATTACCATGGGGCCACCGAGTCTCTCAGCTCTGCAATGCGTTTGTGTTGAAAACATGGACTTGTTTTGAACAGACTGCTAAAGTAGGGAACAAGCTGAGCACAATACAAACTTCATATTTGCTTCTGGTGGTTCCATCCATGAGGAACTCCAGGTGAGCGCAGAAAACTGCACCCGGCTGAGCCCTGGGGTGGCCCTCACAACGCTCAGACGCACAGGCCAACCTCGGGGCTCTCTCAAGGTGAAGTGACATATTTATTGTCATACTGATATATTTCTTAATCATTTAACATGTCTAAAATGGTACCACCATTTTTATTACCTTGCCCTCTCTCTTTTTTTAATGTGGCATTGATGACGTTTTTGAGTACTGTGCTCCTAACTCTATTTTTTCTCACAAGCCCTGTGGTTCTCATTGCTCATTTTTGCATATGATCAGCACCCTGACTGTGAGGAATGTGTATGTCACATTACAGCAGAGCAGGCTGTACCTTCTCCCTGAGCCAGGTGTCACCTGGGTGGTAGAAAAGCAGCTCCAAACCCTCTCCTTCGCCTCCTCCCTTTTTGGCTCAACCTGCAGCCTCAGGCCAGACAGCGGCCCCAGCTAGAAACTTCTCCTCCCTTCCCGGCTACACTAGCCCCTGGGGCTAAGTTCCCACAGCTCCCGGTCATTTTCTTCTCAATGCACCTGCCACAACTTACCCGTCCTCTACTAAGCGCTGACCCTTGAGTGCCCTAAGAACTGACGCTACGTCGCACTCATCTTGTTCTCCCAAGTCTGGCCACAGCACACACCGCATCAACACCGGTCCAGCCACTCACCCACTGCGCGTCACCAGGCACTGCCGGAGCCCCAGTTTCCGGAAGATGTCCACCACCGTCTCCATGGGCGTGTGGTCCGTGACTGTGAAAGGGCTGAGGTTCAGGACACGGCGCAGCTTCAGGGGTTGGGGGCTGTTGGCTGGCAGCTCGGGGGGCTCCTCTGTGAAGTACATGATGGAATTGCTCACGATGCCCTCCTGCCTCTGTCTGGCGTTCTCTAGAACGGGCAAGCAGGAGGATGAGCCACACCAAAATCCCCCGCTTAGCAACCGCCGCAACCCCGGACCTGCAGGAACACACATCCTCCCTCCTCCCGCATCCCAGAATCGCACAGAAAAGGGGTTCAGAGGGCAAATGCCACATCCTTAAGGAGGGACTTCAGCTGAACATCTGTAAAATCAGCCACTGCTGGGCTAGGGTCCCCCTGCGGGGATCCAACCGTTCACTGCCAAAGTCTTAAAACATGGGTCTGAGTAGGATAGCTCCTTTGGGGGAACGCATTGCTTCCCCTGGACTCCAGGGCACCCAGAAGGCCCAGAGCCCCCAACCCTTGCCTTCCTAACGCTTCTTCACCTCATATCATGGGCTGAAGTTTGACGTGACAAGAAACCTCATTTAGCTGCTCAGTGACCTTAATACATTTTTTTTTTTTTTACAAAGTAACTTCCAGTTGACCCAAATGACATTTTGAGTCCTGAAAGGAACAGGAAATTAATAGGGCCATCCCAGGCTCACAGCCCAGAAATGCAGCTCAATCCCAAATACGACCCTTGGGACCAAAGAAATACCCCTAGAAAAGCCGCATCTCCCTCCCCTTGGATATGCTCTCTTAAAAATGGGCCATTTTGAGGACTTTTCAAAGAAATATAGTAAAAACTGTTATGGTAACAATCAGCCTATTTCTATCTACAGGCAAGGCCATGTGAAAGAGAGCTGAGGAAAAGTGGGGTAACAGGAACTCATTAGAATACAGCTTTATGCAGCACTAGAAACCCAGGCTATTTTAAGTCACACATGAAACAAATCCATCGGTCTCAAGATATTTCTCCAAGGCAATTTTCCTTCTGTTGGAATTTTAATCTTTCTTTTGGTTCATGGGAAAAGGTTAGGAAAAATGTACGGTGAGGCTCGCCTTAAAATGAATCCTGGTTTCTATAACATAGCTCTTGCTTTCTCAAAGACTACAATTCACCTATATTGTTCGAACTGCCTGCTCTGAGGCCATTAACTGCAGTAGAGTACTCTAAAGGAGAACTGGCAGCATTCGGGCTCAGGCGGAGCTGGAAAAAGGGTCTCTGTTTAAAAGAGAAACCGGGGGGCCCGCTGGGCAAATGCCTGCACATTTTTTGGATCAGGTTAAATCTAGTTACATCAAATGGGATATGAGTCAACCACAAACGCCAGATGACATTGAGGCACAATATGTTTTCAAATGGAGATGCTACATGACACACACCACACGCAAACCTCTCTCCAAAATCGAGATGGTTCTGTCCTGAGCAGTCAGGTGGGCGGCAAGATTCAACACATATTTATTGGCTCATTTTATTTTTCTGAAAGATGTTATTTATTTATTTTTAGACAGAAGGGAAAAGAGGGAGAAAGAGAGGGAGAGAAACATCCTTGTGTGGTTGCCGCTCACATGCCCCCTACTGGGGACCTGGCCTGCAACCCAGGCATGTGCCCTGACTGGGAATCGAACCGGCAACCCTTTGGTTCACAGGTCGGTGCTCAATCCACTGAGCCACACCAGCCAGGGCTATTGGCTCATTTTCATATAGCAATCGATTCTTCAAAAGTCCCACATAATGGGAACCCCATCTCTTTCAATAATCAGGTAGAACATTAGAAATGGATCAAGTCACACACCTCAATCAAGAACTGATCCCATGAGTTTGCTGAACCCCTTTCAAAATCAAATGCAACTTGGTACAGTGTCAGTCCACTTGTTCAAACAAATAAGCTTCCATTTCCTTGGCAATCCACTGATTGTGTTAGAAGCCCTGATTCTAACAGCAGCTAGTTCAGTGACTTCTTGCTCACCAGTGCATTCCCAGTGCCTGGATGATGCTTAGTATACAGCAGACACCAAATACATACTTGCCAAATGCATGCATGAACCAATCAATCAACAAGTGAATAAGGAATGAGTAAGCCTACTAACTGTTGGTGGACTTGGCTTTGCCTGCCATGTAAACAGGGTCTATTGCACGTAGGAGGCATTAGGAATGAAAGTCCATGAGCTAGTCACTGCCGGACAAAGAATGAAAGGCAGCAGGTGGAGCCAGAGCCGGAGGTCTGAGGAGCTGTGCTCCTTGCTACTCCAAGAGTGGCAGCTGCTGCTCTCTCCAGGCGAGCTCTGCGAGGCTACTTTGGAACTCCATTAGAAAGATTTCTGTTAAAGCTTCGGATTGCGGGGGTGGAGGTGCTATGCACAGGCCAAAAGCTGGTGAACAGAAGAACCAGCAAGAAAGCTCTGTGCATCTCTCCACTAGGGTAAACCATCTGCTCTCAGTTTGGACCAGAAATTGTCATCAGTCACCCAAATGTCTGCAATAAACTCTAACATGTAAGTTCACAGAGGGTCACCCCTGAACTTTAGCTCCTAGGACTGTGAGGGCACATGGTGGATACGCAAGAAATGCTTCCTGAGTGAAAGGACTCACTGACTCCTCTCCCAGGGGAAGATCCAGTGCTGCAACAGAAGAAACTCTCACACCCCAAACACTCGTGGGAGCCCGCGTTAGAAAATAACCCCCCCACAAAAAACACCCAATGTTTACATGTGTAAAAGACAAGAAGAAAATGCACCGAATATTAGCCATGGCCTTCTATGGCATTGAGAATGTGGAGGCCTTTTTCTGTTTGCTCTTTAGCTTCTGATTTCCCCAATATTCTCTCAGTATGTATTACTTTCACTTTAAAAAATGTAGTAAACTTCATTTCTAATTGTTTTAAAGATCAAGTAGTTAAACTCTTTTTAATAAGGGGGTTTATTGTACATCCTACCAGAACTAGTATTGATGTCCACAGCCTCTGAAAAATGATGTACAGTTTAGGAGTACCTGCTAAGGTCATTCGACTTGACCTTCCACTTTCTAGCAGTAGTACAACCATAATGCCAGGTGCACAGAGGGTCATTAGGAAAGTGTTGATAAAGTGAATTTCACAAACTATGATAGGCCAAGAAATTTTAAAAGACTAGAAATAATCACATATTCAGTAAGCTATAACAATGGTTTTAGAGTAATGGTTCTTGATTGGGCGCAATTCTGCCTACCTCAGGGGACATTTAGTAATATGTGGAGACACTTTTGGTTGTCGTAACTGGAGGACGGGCTTCCTACTGGCATCTACTGGGTAGAAAGCAGGGATGTTCTGTTGCTCAACACCGTACAGTGCGCAGGACAGCCCCTCTCAATAAAGGATGACCCAACCCCAAATGTCACCAGTTGCAAGGTTGAGAAACTGTACTTTAGGGTAATTACATTTTTAGGGTAGTAATACTCTATCATCTTCCTCATTTAAAACTGTTTCCACAAGAACAGATGTAATTAACAAGAAAGCTTAACATGGAAAATAGGAAACAAGTACCATGGTGGTCAGTACAAAAATGATATGATAACGAAATAAAAACTATTTAGAAGAGAAAGCAGACTCTTTTATGACATTATGGTTTCCTTAGGCATGAAGAAGCCCCTCCGTATATACATTTTAGTCCCCAGCAGAAAGGAGCAAATAACACCACTGTTCTCCCAGCAAAAAAAAAAAAACCTCTTTACTCCTCAACAGCCTGTCCAACAGATCTGACACTTATCTTATTCAGTCCTGGACGTAGATCCCTTTCCGCAAGTAAGCATCTTCCACATGCTGGAGAGTCATCATTAAATCATCCACCAGACAAAAAACATCAGAGTTCCCTTAACTCTTGCCCATAACTCTAACTTTCCATCCCTTTAATCATCTTTGTGGCTTCCCACTGAGTCCTCTCTCCACCAGTCCTCGCTTAATTGCGGAACTCAAGACTTGGAAGAGCCTGAGCCCCACTGAGCACGGAAAGAGCCTCACACTTGCAGATGGCACCAAGGGGGAACGTCCCATTTATTAGGAATTGGAACGGGGTCACGTATGGCCCCGTGTGCTAGTGCGTGATGGCTAGTGAAGAGGGCCCCGCTTCCGAGATGGTGCCAGTGAACTGCTCTCTATCAAAGACGACGGCCGTGGTTTGGCATTCCAGAGAGGGACTGAGGATACCACGTTTTCAGCATCACATGAGCAGCTGCTACAATTTCTAACATGAGCTGTAAGGAAAATCCTTATTGGCCTTATTTACCATTCTTTTCTCATCCAAACTATCTTGGATCTATATATCTATAATCTTTGCTCCTAATTCCCCTGAAAGTAGAATCAGCATGGAATCATTAGTAACTAAATGCTAATGTCATATTTCCACATTCACAAAAAGAGCATATAGTTCTGCAAATATAGGTCACAAATTTCTCCACCAGAATATTGAGTCTTCTACTTCCACAGACCAGAAAAACAGCTTTCCTGATTGCTTAGAATGAAACCCTCCTTGCCTTTCCACAAACCATGTAAATAACAGCTTCTATACTATCCTCGGTCTGATTGAAAGCATATAGGTATTATTTACACTGCGTGTTGCCTCTTCAGACATTCCAAACATAGCTTCTAGGGGAGCACTCGGTTGGCAAGCTTAAATTTCTTCTCTAACCGATTGATGACAATTGCTGCTTCCCACTTGATTACAGTAATGGCTTTCAGCAAAATTAGTCAACTGTCTCTTAGCAGGTGTGCCTGGAGCTACACAACCGGTAATGGATTCTGTGACATTTACTACTTTATTTTTTTTTAATTTCAACCTTTGCTTAAAAGATTTTAGGGGCTGAATACATTTTTTTAAAGGTTGCTGATTACATTATTTTAAAACAAATCCAATCCTTCTTATACAGCTTTTTAAGAAGTTTTGTTTTTAATAAGGCGATATTTATGCCTAAAGGCCCCTACCTGTTAAGCAACAGGACCTATAAGAGAAGCCTCACTGAGCACTTAAGGACAAGTGTACTATCATGTCTAAAACAGACAATCAGTTGTTGCTCTGTGATGGGTAAATATGTTTGAGCAATAACCTAATATTACAGGATATAGCTTATCTAAAGTGATTTCGATAAAGCCTTTGATGAACACACTTTAAAGATCTCTCCAAAGCTATTTAACGTGTGAAGAGATTTGGAAATTCAAAGGGAGAGCCTAAGAGATAGTTAACAAAGGGCAGGGAGAAGCAAAGCGTTGTCCAGCAGGGCGTTCTGCCATCCTACCCAAGCAAGTTCCACTGGCAAATTTCATAAACACTCTGAAAGATGGAATATGTAGTAAAATCATCGACTGCACACCTGAACCGCACCATGGGCCCCAGCCTATGGTGAAATGCCGGGACGGTGTGAAGGTAATGGGGCAGGCACGTGAGCAGGATGGCATTTGTGTTTGCCATGTGCCGCACACACGCTCAGCTGCTCCCTGCCCCAGGGCATCGGGAGGTCCGCTGGGTCTCCAACGGAGCGAGCCCCTGAGGCTCACTGCTCTTCCGCGCTGGGGCCTCCAACCACTCACAGCCAGGCTCTGCTCTGTGGGATCCTTCTCCAGCTGCTCCCCCTCTAATGCACTCATCGCTAGGCTGATGGGGCCCACGGGCACGCTTCTCTGAGCCGCCTGCCTTCGGGACATCCCACCTGGGCATCGTGCTCTCTCTCCTCTCCCAACTCAGGAGCCTGCCACTCAGTCCAGCTGATTTCAGTTAGCACACGAGGAGGAAAAGCATCACACACAACTGCCGTGACTGCTGCTCCTTAACCCACATGGGCCTCGAACTGGTGGAATGGGACATAACATCATAAAGTGAAGTGAAAGGTTTGTGTTTAGCCAAGGGAGGCAACCAAGCAAGGAACTTAACCAGCTCCGTAGTTAGCCTGCCTCAAAGTCTGTCTGAGAGCAGCTCGGCCCCGGGCAGCCCTGCTTTCCCACTGTTTCCTCTCAGCTTTGCCCAACAATGAATTCCCTAAAAAGCAGCGGCTGCTGCTTGCCTCCTAGCAGGACTGGGGCCCAGATAGCTGCTTGCACACGTGGTGGTCATCTTCCAGCTAAGCATGCTCTCTCAAGACACTTCTCCTGACAGTGTGATGTGAAGGCCAACAGCAGGGCATTAAGGGGGCACTTTGGAGAAATGCAGAGTTTCGGGCCCCACCACAGATCTACGGAATCAGGATGTGCACTTCAACCAGATCCCCGGGTGGCACAAATATACATTCACTCAAGTGTGGGATCCCCTGGCTCAAAGCCCTCTGACCTCTGTACATTCTCTCCACCCTCTTTGAGAATATGAGGGGTACCAAGGCTGCCATTTGTCTTTTAGTAGCATGTGAGCTCCCCTCTCTTTACTCACTTATTGCAAGAATCAGTTCCCTCCTCTGGGCAAATCCAATGAGGCGCTCAGAGTCCCTGGAGACCACGACGGGGAAGCCGTTGTAGTCGGTCTCTTTGATGAGCGTTTCCACGTCCTCCACGGTCATGCTGTCCTGCGTAAGCACAGAGAGCGGCGGCTCTCCCCGCCGAGGCCGCATGACGTCGGTGGCCAGTGTGCGGTGAGTGAACTCATCCTTCACATCCAGAAATGGGTACCCATTTAAGTGGATGTGGGCCTCGTAGATGCCTTCTTTTCCAAAGGCATCGGCCACCCACTTGCTGGTCACAGCTGCCGCCATCAGGGGTACAATGTACTCTAAACCCCCTGTTAATTCAAACATGATGACCACCAATGACACAGTCATCCTGGTAACGCCACCTGCAAGTGAAGAGAGGAATGAAATTCTGAAACTCAACCCCAGACACTCAGGAGGGCAGGAATTGTGGAAATTGACAAGTTGGCTGTAAATTCTCCTGACAGGAGTGTCTAAGGAGACAGCCCAAGCCCATATCTTCTAAGGAGACATTTCTACACATTGGCCATGCTCAGACCTCTGGATCTGACACCAGGCTTTGTTAAATGCAGCCTCGCATCGGGGAGCCGTAAGTCACACGTGACTGGAGGGCTCTTCTGCAGTGAGAGACAACTTGGTTCTCTAGTCACCTAGGACCACGTGCCTTGCTTTTTGGTAAGCGGATCCTATGTGAGCTAGGCAGGTTTCTGACTCAGCAAGTGTGGCTCTCTTCTGGGACCCCATAAGCTGGAAAACTGTAGAAACTCTTATCGGCTATAGAGAGGAGAGGGACCCACCCTTGTGTCCCCTGGTATTCAAAGGGAGAATCCATAGCAACTCCTAATCTTCGAATGAGCTTAAACTGGGGTTTGTTGACTTCAGCACTAGGAACACTTGGGACCAGGTCATTCTTTGTTGTGGGGGCCGTTCTGTGCACTGGAGGGTGTTTAGCAGCATACACCCACTAGATGTGAATAGCACCTCTACCCTCAGGTGTGACAGCCAAAAATGTCTCCTCTACCGTCCAGTGTTTCTGAGAGGCACAATCACCCCCAGTTGAAAACCACTATTCTACATAGTACAGCTGCCAAATAGTAGAGACTCCATCAGCCTGGATCCCTGAATGATGACTAAGTGGAGAGAAACCCTCTGTACACTCATACTCTACACACACACCCACACACAAGAGATGATTCTCATTATTCACGGTAGTTGTGATCTATAAAATCACCATAAACAGTGAATTACCAAATTCGGAATCATTGCTCTAGGGGAAACATAAGGTAAGGTTTCTGTGAGCCTCTGGTCACAACATTTTTGTCAAAATCAACACAAAACCTTATTTTATGCGTTTCTCCTCAGAGACATCTTATTTAATATACATGGCTGATTCTTTAACGTTGAACTCACAGCCAACAGCACTATGTAATTCGTGCCTGAGGGAAGCTTCTGTAGCACATGTATTTTTTCCTTAAGGCACATCCCGGGCTTCTCACACTAGAAACACCACACGGCACCTCGGGGCTATGCTTGGAGGCCATTGTAAACAGCCGATCATTAACAAAAAGCACAAAAATGCAAAACACATGGCACTAAATAGACCATGAGAAGGACATTTGTGTACAGTCTGAGAGCTGAACCGAGAGGGTACACCTTCGGCTTGGTCAGCCTCTGCTGGGGATGAACGCGTGTGTTGGAGGACTCCAACTTTCCACTGCTCTGTGACTGTCCAAGAGTGACAGCGAAAGCCCCCCCAAGTATCGATTTAGGGATTATAAACAAATTTTAGCAAGTAGACAAATTCCCGTTTACAAAATCCATGAATAATGAGGATCGACTGCCTATCATGGACCAGATATAAGCTTTCGTGTGTTAAGCCACTGAGATGTAGGGGTTTACTTGTCACAGCAGCACAGTCCCTCCTATCCTGAGAAAGCAAGAGCTCGTGTCTTCCTTGCAGGCACTCCTCTAACCGAGATCAGCCTCTGTGCTCGGTCTGCGTCACCTTTCCTTGTACCTCCCACCCCTGCCTCACCCCACCTCTGGCCGTACCTAGGCAGGCTGCCGCTCCCACCATTGCGTAAAGTCCCGGGGTGACACAGTCCGCTCCGGGCCGGCACCAATTCCTGAAGATGATCCAGTCGTGGTGATGGTAAGCCAGCTGCTCCACGCCAATGCCCACCATCCTGCCCGCCATGGCTCCCACAGCCATGCTGGGGATGAAGAGGCCCGATGGGATCTCCAGAGAGCACACACGGAAAAGAAGCATGAGGAAAGGTGTCTAAGTTCCCGCCTCCCCGCCCCCAGTATACACCATGCCCCCTCAACACGCTTGCATTTTGCTTCAGTCCTCAAAGGAGGTGCAGGACTTCAAAGTAGGCCAGCTGGGCAAAGGTGGGACAAGTGATTGCTCCTACTTAGCCAGTCCTATCTGCTGTGACTTGGAGAGAATGCGATTTTACACTTTCATTTCCCGGCCTTCAAAAGCCAGCCTGGCTTGCCTGCTGTGGATTAAAGAATGATAAGCCCCTCTGCAAATAGCATTCAAAGCAAGCATCTGTCACTTGAGATACTCACCACTTTCTTGCTCCCCTTGCGTGTCCTCCAAATTAGCTTTTAAAATTAAATGTCAAGCCACAGCATGAAAATGGAAAAGAAGGGCCTGCGCCGTTCACAGGTAGAATAAAGAAGCTGAGAGCAGCAGCGCAGCTGCCTGGATCTTCCAAAAAGCTTTCAACAGCTTCCTGCCCTCTTGAATACAGAGCGGTCAAACACCTGTCGGGGGCACGGGGCAGTGCCCTCTTCCTGACAAAGTCCATTTTCCAAAAAGTACAGTGAGTATTTTCAAGCCCGGTTAGAGGTAGCAAAGAAATAGACTATGTGAACTAAAAGATCTTGGTAATAGTGTGGTTTCTATTTTGCCGTGTGAAAAGACATTTGAATTTATCCAGTGATCAGACAAGCGCTACGGAACATGCATAGAGACCGCACGTGATTGCGATGCTGAGTGGGAGCTGCATTTCTGCCCAGCCCGGGACTGCCGTCAATCTCAGGCTGGAGGTGGAGCTTTAACCACATTCCAGGTGAGTCTGGATCCTTGAGTGTGATTTCTAGAACCTGGGCCATTCCTGAGGAAACTGTTCCTTTCTGAGCTGCCCCTTATCCCGTGGCCACTTAATCTCCTGTAACTTCGAAGTGGACTTCTCCCAGCACGCGCTGGAAGATGCGGCTAGCATCTTCCTGAGACACAAAGATAAATCCCTTTGCTAGGAAAGGATGGATCAGAGACAGTCAGTTGTTTAATATTAAAGTCCATCCAACCTTGTCCTCAGGGCAAAAGTTCAGGTTTGTGTTTGACCATCACACACTCAATGTAAACTCTATACATGGTCTCTTAGACTTTTTAAAAAAGAAACAAAACAAAAAGATAGCACACAGAAAGCAATGGGGGTTCTAGAGGATTCTCTATGTTCTGTTTCTGGTGGTAAGTGCTGCTTACACAGGCGTGTGTGTTTCACGGACATTCACCAAGCTGTATACATCTCTATACGATTGTTGTACTCGGAGCCTCAGCTCTTTCACTTGCAAAATGGGATTAAAACCTCTATTTCACACACTTGCTATTTATCAAAAGCATAGTACCTTACTGATTAAGAGAATGTCAAGTGCCCAGCACAAGAGAACACTCAATAAAGGTCAATCCCCCTTTCCTCCCATCACAATTTGATTTTGGCAAATAGGGTGCTGTCCCCAGAAGGACATGGGTACCCCCCATCTTCCTTCCCCTTCATTTACCTTCATGCCAAAGGTAAATATGGTAATGACGATTTTGAAGATCAGCGCCAGGGCCAGCTGCCACATGGCCGTGTATACCCCAAGCCCGGCCGGCCGGTCGGGAATGTCATCCACAGGCCGGGTCATGTTGGGGTCGTTGATGTAGTCACACAGCTGGGAGGACTCAAGGGCCCCGCAGTCATTGAACAGCTCAGAAATGAGCTCGCTCGTGCTCTTGCGTGTGTAGGGGTTGGGGTAGGCGATGATGGCAGTGATGGCGGTCACCACAATGACCTCCAGCACCGGGTACTTCCCCAGTTTGGTGGTTTTGCGCCTCCTGCACCAGGCGATGTTGCAGCGGATAAAGAGCGTTCCCCACAAGCCCCCAAAGACCCCCAGCAGGATGAAGGGGAAGAGCTCGGCCATGTACCAGGGTGTGTGATATTCCACGTAAAAGAGAACGAGGCGGCTGTTCCCAAAGGGGTTGATGGATCGCAGCGTGAAGGCCGCCACCAGGGCCGCGAAAAAGGACCTCCACAAGGTCTTCAGGGGAAAGTAGTAACTGACCTGGGGCAAACAAGGAGAAAATTAAAGTCGGGCCGAATACGGGCGGTACTTGCGTCCTCAATCTGCGGTTAATTATAACCCAAAGGCACCAACGAAGATATTTAGTCTTTGACTCCATGACTCTGTGTCTAAACGTGGAATGCAAACTCATTCAGGTGTTTCTGAGCTATTTTTAAGAGAAATAAAAATACTGAATCATAATTCTGTTTATGGCACAGAGACGCTCCTAAAAGCAATCTCTGAATTTGATTCTTTGGACAACAGACTAGACCAAGGGTCAGAAAACCCTGGCCCAGCAAAGGTAGCCAAATGCCACATGAGTTAAGAATGAATGTCACATTTTTAAATGGTTCAGGGGGAATACGTTGTGACATGTGAGATATTCAAAAGAAGAACACTATTTTGTGACGTGTAAAACTCAAACGTGAGGGTTCATGAGGAAAGCTGTGTTGGAACTCAGCCATGCCCAGTCACGTCTGTGTTGTCTGTGGCAACACGGTACACGGCAGGGTTGAGTAGCTGGGACAGAGACCGGGGGTCCTGCAAAGCCGAAAATACTTACTACCTGGCCCTTTAGAGAAAACATTTGCTGACCCATGGAAAAGATCTTTTGGATTGCCAAAAACAAAAATGCTTACGTAAATTGGTTATAAGAAAGCGAGGACACTACAAATCTTCCAAAAATTTTATATTGGCAATTTTTTCAAACAATTCTTAGAAACAGATCTTCAGCGGCAAAACTCGTGGCTCCTTAACGCGCGGCAGGGATGGGGCCAATGGCCCTCAGAGCCCAGTCCTCAGAGGGCTTTAAATGGAGGCGCGCTGCTGAGCCAGCCAGCCCGTACCCCTCGGCCCTCAACCCCCACGCTCCCGCAGCCTCCCCTGCTCACCTCTTCTAGACTGAAAAGCACACCCCCAATTGGAGCACCAAAAGCAACGGAGACTCCGGCCGCAGCCGCCGCTGAAAGTACCTGCAAGGCAAAGCGTTTCGTGTAGCCCAAGGCCTTTTGTGAAAACGAGCGTGTGCAGGGGGGACTGCAGGGGGCGCCTTCCAGAAGATGGAAGCGGGACACGCTCACCTCACGCCTCTTGCCCTCGTTCTTGCTGTACTTGGAGAAGAGGCTGCTGAAGAAGTTACCACAGCAACAAGCCACGTGCACCAGCGGCCCTTCCTTCCCAAGGCTCAGGCCCGAGGACACTACCAGCACCAGGGTGACGGTCTTGATCAGCAGGGTCCACTTGCCCAAGTAGCCCCTGATGATAAAGCCGCTCAGAATGGTCTTGATCTGTAACAGAGGACGAAGAACAAGGAGGCATGAGCTGCTTCGATGCCACGGCTGGGAAAGAACGAATTTCCCCGAGACGCAGTTCTCAAGCTTAGAGTGACTAAGTCCTATGGAAGAGAGGCTGCTTTCGGTATTGATTTAAGTATAATTTTACATTAACGGAATTTATATTAATATATAATTTCGTATTATATTAATGGAAATGTGAAACAATGCATATTCCTAGAGTAGTAAGATCATGATGAAGGCCGAATAAGTAGTTATCAGGGTCTCATTTTATTTATGGCATTTTATCTTGTTCATATTACCCTCTGTTGTATTGAAAAGAGACATGAACCTATTGATCTTACCTATTAATTTTTGACTGTTGCAAGATGTTCCACATGGAGACAAAGCACACAGAACAAAATGTCAGTGGAATTTCAGGTCAGGTCTGTGGGCCAAATGCAGCCTATTGCCTATTTTTGTATCACCCACACACCAAGAGTGTTTTCAACATTGTTATTTGTAATATGTAAACAAGACTCCTAGCCTTTTATTGAGAAGAGTTGCTCGATTTTGTCTCTTGGCTCACAAAGCCTAAAATACTGACTCTCTGTCCTTTTCCAAACAAGTCTGCTGACCCCTGCTGCAGGCCATGTGTATTTAGGTGTTTACAGCCAATTCTTTCAACTTTTCTGTATGTGTGAAAATATTTTTAATATATTGTTGGAAAAAGAAGATGCTCAATGTTTTCTAAGAACGCAGCTCTGGGGGATGTAAAGGTGTTTGAATCTGTGAAGACCTCCTCCGTTCCAGCAGTTCCTGCCCTCCTGTATTGAAAAAGACCTCGACTACTGGTAGAGTGGCCTTGCTCCATTTTCAGACCTGCCACATTTTCTAAGTGCCAAATAATGGTTTTCTTCCTAAAGGTGCACGTGAATTTGCCTAACACTTTTAGAAATCAACTGGGTGTCAGCATCAGTGATTAACTTCCTACATTGGAGTCCTCTTCCCCCAAAACTGCATTCTTTGGAATACAGAAGCATCATCAATGAGTAAAGAACATTCTACCTGAATGGTTGAAATGGAGCCAATGTTTACTGCCGAGCTAGCAATTTACAAACTTGCAATTATAAATTAGTTAAGACACCGAGCGAATCAGCCAATAAAATTCATGGTCAATTTCCATTCTCCCATTGTATAATAGCAATACATAATGGGACAATGTTATCTCTTGTCAGTGTCAGGACATTTACGTCACTTCAAAGTGCCTCCTAGTGGGCATTGCTCTGCCAAGGAATCAATTTCTCAAATAGCTGTTACAGTTCTTCTCAACCTTGGCACTCACTGGACTCACCTAAGGAATTTGGACCCCCAGAGATGCGATGTAACTGGTCTGATGTAACTGTATCTTGAGCGTGGGGATTTTTACAGCCTTCCCAGGTGATTTTAAAATCGCAGGTAGGGAAGCACTCAGTGCTCCATTCTTGAAAACAGCAGCACAGGTCTCCCTAATTTCTCCATAGTTAAGGGACCATCCTGAAACCCTCTTCAGCATCACGTCACCTTTGGCAATTTGGAGAGGGACATGAAGTGAGCTAATCCTCAAAACTTTAAAGGGGTGTGAATGGACCATTTTTGTCCCAGAATTATTGATAGAGATCTGTTTCTTACCTCCAGGAGAAAGATCGAGAGCAAGTGCGCAGGCATGCATGCGCGAACTCAAGGCGCTCCTTCCCATAGAAAAATCCCTGAGGTCTTCTAGCTATGCAATCAGATGGTATTTCTTGCACTAGCCTTTAACTAATGGCAGACAAACTAGCAGTGTTGAACTGGCCTTCAACTATTAGTACTTGGCCTATTTGAGCCTGCGCTTTGGGCATCTGCCATCCACTTATTTAAGGGATGCTTTATTATGCCTGCCACAATCCTGCCCTTTTGTGTTGCCTTGAATAAAATTATCTCGAATTTTTTGTCAGTTAGTTAATGTGGATTTGGACCCTAGGGGAGTGTTTAAAAGCATAATACCATTTAGAAAATTACAAGCATCTCAATTACCTGAGCCTCCGCCGGCTGTGACATGTGGTGGATTGAACAATGTAATAGGTATTTTGTAATTCTCTAAAATGATTTTATAAAATTGTCATGATCAAATTAGGGACTAAAGAAAGCAAATTCGTTCCCAGTAGATGCCAAAATCCAATCACTTGCTTTCATTTGAATAGAGACCGAGTCAAGCAAGGCTTTAACAAGATGAACTTCAGCAAATTTGTGAGGCAATGGGGTTAACTTTAAACTCTTTCTGGTAAACAAATATCTGTGAGAGTGTTCAGGTTTCGTAATGAAACACCAACTCAAAGTAAGTTCTAAGAGGACAGGATTTCTTACATAGTCAATGGTGGTTCTGATAATGCAGCAAACAAAATAGAAAGAGGGCCCCCGTGCCTGGCCCTGTCTAAATCCCCATGTCCAAGAACGAGCGCTCACATTTAAATGTGCTTTAAGACAGCTTAGACAAGAGCATTTCCCTACACAGAAAAAAGTTCTCTAAATTCGCATTTAAAAAATGTTTCCAAAGGAATCTTCATTCTAACTAATAAAAATGCTTCAGAGGCAAATGCTGGGGAGGACGAGCAATTTTTTAAATTTGCACAAGCTCAGTGTGGTGGCTGTTCGTCTGCCTCTGCACATCCTATACAGCAGCTTCCAGCAGATCTGCTCAAACGAGAGCAAGCACGTTCTCCAAGTTATCTCAGTGAGTATCTTTGCTCAAACAAAGGACAGCGGCCTCAGATCTCAGTTTGAGAGAAGTCGTTTTACATAGTCGGTTGGGTCTTGACCGGGAGGAGGTTCCTTTTATCCAGGATCTACTTGTTTACATTTACTTTTTACTCTGCCCCTTCCCTCTAAGAACTGGGGGTAGGTACTGCACCGAGATTACAGATTTCAAGCTCTATTATAATAATGAAAATGTTGCTGTTACTGAGTCATAATAAACCAAAACTTAATTATAAAATCTCCGCTGGGTTCCTGACACTTCAGAAGACTATTGCGAACTCTTATAAATGCAGAAGTGGATGGTACATAGTATATGTGGTTAAAAGCACATGAATAAAACAAGCACCCATGTACCACCCACTGCCATGAATAAGAGTGAGGACCTTTGAAAGCCCTGTGTCGGCTCCCGCACTGGGACCTCCCTCCTCCCCCACCCCGATCACCTTCCTGCCTTGCTTTATAGCTTTGGCACATGTGTGCATCAGTAAAGCGCGCTGCTGCATTTGGGCTGTTTGTGGACGTTACATCCATAGAATCGCACTTTATGTATTCTTTTGCGACTTAGTTCTGTCACTTGACCTCACTTTTTTGCATTTCATCCCCATCAGTGTATTTCTTGCACTTTGTCATGCAGGAAGCTTAATGCTCGACTGGGCATTTTAGTCCTTTTGAGAAAGATGCCCGCTTCGGATGAAGACCAAGTTCGGGCAGCCTCTCCCACACAGAGCTCGGATTCCAGCTGCCTGTCTGCCTGATGGATCACTAGCTGAGCCTGGCATGTCTGCTTCATGGAAGAAGATGGCAGTGCCCATCACACCTTGCACGGCTGCTTTCAACTTCCTGCCAATCCCCCATTGGCCATCTCCTTATTTTGACAAAGTGGCTTGAATCAAAAACTGCGTACCGTTGGCAGCGGGATCCCAAACCGAGATGCCAACAACAATCTGTTCCTTTTAACGTCCAGGGTGCCTTACATCTTAGGTATCAAATAAAATACAGTCAGTTCTGCCATAACGTTTGTTTGGAAAACACAAATTTGTTCCAATACGTTGCAGGCATTAGGGAAGAACTTGAGCATAACAAATTTCGCGTCTGTTTATGCACAATTTCATCTGGGAGAAACACGGCGTGAACACAGAAAACGGCACCAGCTGAATCCAGCCGTGCAGGAACGCACAAAACACACACAGGCACGTGCCTCAAACACCTACCAGGTCACACGTGCACTAGGGAGCATGCATGTGTTCCTTAACCAGTGAACGTGTGCAAACGGCGCTACTGTTTTTATAAGGTCCTCTTTTTTCCATGTGTCACCGACAAAGCTTCTGAGGGCTGTGCCCTTAAGCCCGCCTCACCAGCAGCTCCGCGTTGGTACTACGCGACGGTGCGTGGCATTGAGATTGTGAAGAATGCAGACTGCGTTAGGGCAGAACCGGCTGTATTAAGGAAATGGGATGGGATTGCTGCTTGTTTTTTGGCCTCCTGCAGCATTATGTTAATATAAACCATCAAAATGTCAGTGTGATATATTCAGTCTTTTTTTTCTATTGTTCCTGGAACAAGACATGTCAAGCTTTTCTTTCGACAATCTTTTAATTACTCCAGCCCTTTCCATGAACTGCCTGGGCCAGCGGCAGTGTTGGCAGCACCAACGAAGAGTGTGGGTGCAGGGAGCGGGGAGCCGCGTGTGTCTGTCACCATAATCGCTCACATCTTGAAACTTACCATCTCCACTGCCTCTGGGCACAGCTGAGGCACCAACCCAAAGGAGAACTGCACTGGCTGCTTACAGTGATCATATGAGAGCTCGAAGGATTGTTCTGGCTAAAATGTTCACTGTCTGGGCTTTTCAGGAATTAGCTCAATTATCCTTATTCTACCAAGAGATCATCCTGGGTTTGAAGTCTCGTCTCAGGCGTCCCTTCTGATCGATGGGGTCGCTTCCCTCCTGCTTTGGTGACATGACAGCGCTGAAAAATATAAGAACTGCGAACTCGCAGGGGCGCCTTTCACAGCGCACGCCTTGAATGTGGAATTAAGTTTTGTCAACATCGCTATCACCTTGTCACCACAAGAGCAAATTGTGGCAACAAACCTCCACTATTGTCTATTTCCACATTGCATCATAGACGTATTTGCAAGTTACTGAGGTGCCACACTGAACGTATGCGGTAAATGAATTCCGATTCCATTGGCTTTGCGGGTTATGCGTGGTTTGCAAACACAAGACTTTAATCATCTGCGAAGCACTAGAATCTAAATCCCGAATATAGACCATAAACCTTGAGTTCAGCTCCCAACTGACGAGCTTCGTGGCCTAGGGCAAGTTACTTAACCTCTGTGTGCTCCGCTCCTCAACTATCGAATGAAGAACAGTAGTACCTACCGCATACGTTCACTGTGGGGACTCAATGAGTTAAGAGATGTCAGATGCTTGGAACTGGACTTGGCCTGTAAGCGCTACGGAAGTGTGTTCTGTCCTCATTACGGGCGCAGTAGAAATCCAGCCACACTCACCTCCGGTATACCAGAGCCACAGGCGTAGGGCGCAAAGACGCGCACCAGGGAGACGGCCAAGAACGCAAACAGCAGGGCCCACAGGATGTACAGCAGGTAATTCAGAATGTAAGCACTGGCACCCTGAGCAACAGACACAAAACAAGAGAACCGGTGAGCCCCAGCAGGCCGAGCGGCCCGCCCTCCGCTGTGACAGCAGAAGTACTGACCAGATCAGGCAGCTTCTGTCCGGGTCCTGTGTCAAGGAAAAGGCAGCGTTGCTTTTATTGGCTCTTGCTCGCACCCTCACACACAGCCAGGGCTCTCCAGGAGCGGTTTACACAGGCCTCCCACCCAGTGAAGTCTCAGTGACCATGGAAACCGGGGGAGGGAGACTCGCTTGTAATCGCCGCTTGCGCTAGAGTTAATGAAAGGTGTGATGCAGAAAAGTCCGCATTCGAGCCCCTAAAAGGTGTGTTTTGTCTCGTCTGCAGTGGGACGGCCTCCCTTTGCTTTCACTGAGGCCACAGCCGCGGCAGCCACGGTGCCGGGACTGTGAGAAGTGCTGCTGGAATGTGCGCCCGGACCCCGGCGGTCAGCCCCCTTACCCCCCACCCTGGCAGGACAGCGATGCAGACTCCCAGGCCCTGCCCCAGAGCTGCTAAACGGGACCCTCTGGAACAGGTACCCGGCAAAGTATGTTGGTAGGCTCTCCGGAGGGTTCGGATACATGCTAACACCGGAGAGGCACTTCTGCAGGGGAAGCTTGATCACCTATCAAAATCAGTCATTGAACCATTTCTTCCAAACCATCTGCTGTGTGGACAAAGCTTTCTCAGGCGAACACGCAGTTTCGGCTCTCTGGCGCTGAGGACCTGGTCCGCTGGGTGGAGACCACATTTCCCCGGGCCTCCGCTTCTTGCCACCATCTGGATTACTCCAGTGAGGGGGAGGGAAAGCAAGGTCACCTGCAAGTCAGGCCATGGACACGGCCACATGTGTGTCTATTAAATGCAGAAACACGTTCCAGGAGACTGCTCGCCCCTTACAATCACATACATTCACACCTATGCGCAGGGAAAGCGGACCGAGGAACACATGTCACCCACTTAAAAATGTACCTTTTTCGGGCTAAAAATAACTTCTCACTCTTGCTAACAGTAATTCTTTGAATCAAAGTATAAATCTTAGAAACGACTGAAAAGATGAACGGCCCTATTTCCCCAAAAACACATATCGCAAGTAGGAGAGAAGAAATAAAATAGGGCGCGTGGCCAGTTTTTCCTGTCCACTGCCATCAGGCCGAGAGAATTGATTTTGGAAGCAATGGCGAGCACTGAGAATGTGTGAGATTTCAAGATCCCGTCTACTTCTGAGAGTCGAAGAAATTCATTTTCAATTCACCGAGAAAGAGGTTTAGCAAAATGGCAAAGGGCATTGCAAATGTCTTCATTTGGACTTCCATTGGGCAAAAGAGGTGGGGACAAGCCCTGGCTGCTGTGGCTCAGTAGACCGAGTGCCGAGCTGCAAACCAAATGGTGTGGGCAGGAGGAGAGGAGATAGATTGCATTTTCCAAGAATAGTTCTAGCTTGGGCGGTCTTCACAGTGACCTTAATGCGAATCTGGGCAACCTAACTGCTCCTCTCTGGGCTTCCTGATCTGGCAGTGACCCACAGTCATTGTGATAACCACTGAATTTGGTGAGAAGTGAACCGTTTTCCCAGGCTAAGACTTTTATACAGGTCTGAAGCTCTCAGTGCCACGAACGCCAGCTCCCGGTCTGTGGTTCACCGCTACGCCCTGTGCCTGGACACTCTCACCACAGAACACCCAGAAACATCCTATGCGACCCGCTCATCACATGCATGGGAAGATGATAACTTACACCACAATGAGGTACCACTTGACACCTGCTAGAATGGCTAGAATCAAAGACAGATAATTACAAGCGTGGGTAAGGATGCAGACAATTGGGAGCCCTTATGCACTGCTGGTGGGTATGTGAAATGGTGTGACTGCTCTGAAAAACATTCTTGCAGTCCCTCAACAGTTAAACATAGAGTTTCCATATGACCCAGAAATTCTCCTGGTAGGTAGATACCCAGGAGAAATGGAAACATGTCCACATGGAAACTTACGCACAAACGTTCAAAATAAGTCATTCATAATAGAGTGAAAGTAAAAGCAACCCATGTTCATCAACTGATGCATGGATAAATAAAAAGCGGTCTGCCCGTATAACGGAATGTTATTAAGCCATGAAAAGGAATAGAGTTTAAGATACCATCCTATTCCTTAATTAGAAGGTATAAAAATCAAAACTTTTTCTTCAGGAAACTACTCTTGGTAAGAAAAATAAAGCCAAACCCAAGAATTTTAAAAATATATGCGTGTCTTGTGCACATGAAACAGTAGGGAACGGTTTTTCAACTAAAGTTTGCACGCTAGAGCTAGAAAAAGCCAAGTCATACCAGTATGAAGCCACAGGCGATCCTCAGGACACTTGAAGGTGAAGCACAGACATTCACACATGGCCCAGCAGTGTCCCCAAAGCACCTGTTGAATGGCGGGTGTTTCCAGTCAGGACCCTGCCCAGAAACCCACCTCTGACTGATTCACCAGCAGCTCCGACCATTTCTGCCACAGGGGACACTTGTCCCTGTCCTCAAAAGTGGTCTCTGTGGAAGTCCAGCAACATTGCTCGTGGCTGTACCAGAAGGCAGACAGGCAGATCCCCTCCTTCAAGTCGGTCATCCAGTCGACGGCGAGATCGATGACCCCAGCCAAGGTGCCTGGAGACAGCAAGAGCCACTTAGAGGAATTGCCCCATGATGACACGGTGAGACACACAGCATGGGGCCAGTGCAGGGGCACATCAGCCAGGAAGGCCACACACCAGAGAAGGACACGAACACGCCAGGGGCTGCCACACATACAGGAAGTTTCCTCATTAGCCATGAAGTCCTCTGAGCATTTCGGATGTGGGCAAGGCAGTGCCCAGCCCAACGAGATACAAAGGCCAATGATACATAGTCCTTGGGTGGCTTTAACCATGCAAGTCTCCCTCATCACAAGCCACTGGGGCCAGGCAGCGTGTACAAGTCATCCCTTCCAAACCTCAAGAATAGAGCACGTGCACCCTCCCAATGACATAACCCGCAGCAGCTTCCGGAGAAGGATGCTGGGGTCACACGCATTAACAGTTCTCAGGGAAATGTGACGGCTCAGACAAAATGGAGGCATGAGGACTAACGGCCTCATTGTGTAAGTAAGGTTGGCCACCAGATCGGAGCCAAGCTTGGAAAATCTCACTTATTAGAACTCTGTGGGGTTTTTAAATTATTGTGTAAGGGACTGTGGATCTATATAACTAAACAACTACCTTAAAGGCTGAGAGAAGTGGGGTATAATAGACTGTACAGTGGGCCACAGAGCAGTATCCTGGGTCTTTTTCTAGTATAAGCCACATACAGTCTTTTATGAGGGCAAGGAATACTCTCAGGCTCTCAGGCTACTGAGGATATACTCAGGAGGGTAGTACAGCATGGAAAAACCTTGAAAATATCATGCTGAATAAAGGAAGCTAATCACAAAAGCCTACATATTGTATCATCCCATTTACATGTAATGCCCAGAGTTGGCAAACCATAGAGGGACAGAAAATGGGTGGTTGCCTGGGGCAGAGAAGAGGCTGCGGACACTGGAGCTTGAGAGCTAAAGGGTATGGACGTTCTCTGGGTGCTGATGAAAATGTTGTAAAATTGATTGTGGTGATGGCTGCATAACTCTGTGACTACACTAAAAACCAGTGAAGTGTATACTCTAAGTGGATGATTGTATGGCATATAAATTATACCACAATAAAGCTGTTACATACCTACATACACAAACAAACACATACAGTGGGTGAGGGGCATGAGGCTCAGAGAAGAGGTGTACTTTTAGAAAAGGTGATCAGGGAACACCTCAAGTCAAAGAGGGCATTTGAACAAAGAACTGAAGAAGGGAAGGGAAGGGTCCTGCAGATAGCTAGGGGCGAGACCCAGTGATCACCCCAAATTCCACCACCATTCATTCACTCGTCCTCACGTTATCCCATACCCAATCTTCCTGGCTGACTCTGCTTCTCCCGGTGCTGGCAGTCTCAGCTCCCTTCTATGCATGAAATAACGACGACACCCTGTGGTGACTGCCGATAACCGCTTCGTTTGTGGAGCAATAGCGACACCCAGTGCTAACTCATAATGAACGAATCGTTAATGCTTTCTTTCGTGGAGCAACAGTGACACCCAGTGGCGACTCACAGTAAGTGCTTCGTTAATGCTGTGGTAAAAGCTTCGTTTGGTGGAGCAACAGTGACACCCAGTGGTGAGTCCTGATAAACGCCCTGCAGAACAGACCCTTCTTGGACCTCTCCATTTCAAGGGTCAGAACATAATGTCCTGGGCGCCACTGAGGAGAGGACACCAGCTGGGGGCAGGGAGAGTGAATAGCGTGCAGTTTACCGGCCATCCCTTCAAGATACATCCAGATCAAAAGAACACTTTGGCCGCCTTAACGGTCAGTATCATGTCACTCACTCTTGCCTTCTTATATTCGTTTGCTGATGTATCCAGGGGCTAGCCTTTCTCCAGGGTGTTCTTACCCCGGCTGCGCATTGGAATCACAGGTGGAGGTGGATAGGAAGTCGGGGGGGTCTTTACTCAATGCTAGGACATCATCTCCAAATACACTATTTGGTTGAAACCCCAGGGAGCATTATTTGTTTTTAATTCCCCAGGTGATTCTTCCTAAAAGAACTGACAGAAATCAGGTTGATAGTGAAACCAGCTGGCTAATACCAGGTTAAAGGCAGCCCAATCAGGCTCTTAGATCAGTCAATAAATCTACACTGTGCTATTTACTCCGGCAAGATGCCACAATATCTATTGTGGATTTCTTCATTTCTCTATATTTCTCCATCCTAGGAGCCAAGGTTAATTATACAATGTGCGGTTTTTATAAATCCATTCTAAATGAAGACATCAAAATTCATAGCCAACTCACACCCTGCCTACCTTCGAAGGTCTTCATAGAAACAGTCAAACAAACTGGTGGCAAGATACCGTATAAGCACAAAATCGAATTCCCTTCTAACACTGCTGCCATTATATACTGGGAATGCCGCCGGGAGAGGAGGACAGACTGGGAGAAATGGATGAACAGCCCCGTGACTAGAAGGAAAGCAGTCTCCCTTAAGGGTTCCTCTTGGCTCTTTGTGACGTGCCAAGGCCGACGGAGCCCCTCCTACAATCGTATATGGAACAAATGAAGAAGCACCCAGAAACCGAAGTCCTCGATAATCACAAAATCTACATCTGTGCCCCATTGGTGTTCTGTCTTTCTTAGAGCATTTGCTATATTCTGCCCGTATTAAGAGTCGGTGTCTGGTCAGTCCTCTAACCATACTGTTACGTCGTTATAGGTAGGGGGGCTTTATGAAGAGGATGTCTTTAGCAAGCTCAAACTCTTTATTATAGACAGTGACATTCACGGCCTCGTAAGAGGGAGCAAGTTTCAGGAAAGAATTTCCATAGAGAGCTGGTGCATTGGATATTATTAAAAGGGTAAGTTTCTCCGCCAGACTCTTCCATTCACTCTAGAAACATGGGGTTGGGATTATAAAAATGAAGGATACAGAGGCCCTGAGGGTCAGAGTAATGTATGCGCTGGACATATCTCCAGCTCCTGAGGCGTCTCGCATTATTTTGAGTGTCTTGGGATGTTCACAGTTCATCCCAGGGCCTGCCAGTATTAGTAAAGGCCAGCCTCATACAGTGTTTTATTATTAGAGATCAAAATTTCTCCACATTTTCTTGCCTTCTACATAGCCAAGCAGTATAGAATATAAAATGCGTGCCTTTGAGAAAACCCAGTGTGGCCAGAGACCTTCTTCCAGCGTGGAACGGCCTGCCAGCTCTCCAGTTACAGCTCTGCAGTGACCGCACTTGGGCTCTGCCTTTGGATCGCGCCTTATGCATGACGGATTTTTTTATTGTTTGTTTTTAATTTTTTTTTTTTTAGAGAGAGAGGAGAAGGGAGGAGGAGAGGGACAGAAACATCAATGTGCAGGAGAAACAGCAATTGGTTGACTCTCGCACGCCCCTAGCTGGGGACCTGGCCCACAACCTGGGCATGTGCCCTGACTGGGAATTGAACCAGCGACCTTTTGATTCGCAGGCTGGCGCTCAATCCACCGAGCCACACCAGCCAGGATTGGCTTCACTGGATAATGGATGTTATGTTAAATGTATGGTCGTGTATTTTGCTCTCGGGCATTTGAGGCACTCAATTTCTTGCATGGGGTAAAAGAGAAACACTCCCTCTTCAGAGCACCATCGCGAACCGCTGGCGCTTCGGGGCTGTGCAGCTCAGCCTTGGCCCGGGAGCACCCTACCACGTACCCGCCAGCAGGCCGATGAGCAGCATGACCACCCATCCTGACCAGGCATCCAGCAGACCCTTGATGAACTCCCACACGGACTCCTTGCTTTTGCTGGTTATCTGGAAACAGAAAGACACAGTATCATCTGGATGTATTTTCCAATTCAGGCTTCCTTCCCTGATACCTTCCTTAGGAACCAGGGGCTTGAGAAAACAAATGTAATTAACCAACCGACTTCCCACTACCTTCTCCTACCACAGTGATAAAAGGAGCTTTCTAGTCAAGAGTCACTTACTTGAACAAACTTATGAGGTGTGATTTGATCTTTGATTATTCAAAACCATTCTGAAGGGAGACATCGATTCAGTGCCACCATTTTGAATAAAGATTCTTATTTTAATCTACATCCTAAGGACGTGTTCACAAGAGAGTCTCCTTAACAAACACGTCATTTCCTTCTTTTGTTTTCCAGGTTCAATGTTAAAGGCAAGAACTCCGGATTCGCTAGCGTGAATCGTGGTGACCAGGCAGGTGGATGCATCTGAACACACTGCAAGAGTACCCATTATTAGCCTCCCTGTCTTGACAGAGGCCTACCTTCTTCTGAGAGCGGGACAGAAAGTCAATACTTTCAGCCCTGCCTGTCCCGCAGCGCTTCTGTTCCTCCGAACCCAGCCCCCACCGCCGATGACACAGGAACCTAAGTCTGATCTCAATAACTGTCTAATGAAAGCAGGGGATCCCCTTCAATGTGTCTCTTATGACTGCCGTCTACCTTTCTGTGTCTGTCAGTGTCCCGTGACTTTTCCCTCAGCCAGTCAATGGTGTGGAAGTCCTCGTATGTCCCCACGTCAGGGAATGGCTCATCGAGAAAATCCATTAGGTTTCCAGAGCCGCTCATCGCTTGTGCGTGAAACCATGCTAGTTACACCTGGGAGAGAAAACCTGTGGTTAAAAACGCAAGCAGGATATCTGCACACACCCAGCAGGATAAGCCACCTGCGTTATTTTCTTATATGAGAAAGAATTATTTCCACATAGGCACCTCTGCTGCAATGAAATAAACACACGCGCGCACACACAGTCTGTCTTAGTCAATACAGGCTGCTATAACAAAAATACCCTGGTGTGGGTGGCATTAGGAACGCTAGAGGCCAGCACTGAGTTTCAACACCATTGTAAGCAGCGAAATCACCAATAAAAAGGCACAAAAACGTGAAAAATCTGGCACTAAACAGACTGTGAAAGGACACGTGATCACAGTGTGAGAGCTGAAACAAGACTGCGGGGCGTTGCCTTCTTCAGCCTCAGCTAGAAGTGCATTGCTGGAGACTCAAACTTTTTGCCACTCTGCACATGCGCATGTCTGTGAATGAAGGGAAAAGTGCCACGCGCACTGATGTACGGCTTACAAATAATTTTTGGCGAGTAGGTAAATTCACAAATACAGAACCACAACTGTACACATTTCTGAAAAATCTCATGTTCTGCAAAAGCAAGGTGTCAAAATGACAGGACTGGAGGGACAAATGGGGTTGAGGCGTACCACTCAAAACCAAATCATTGTAACAAAACCAGTACCTGGCTGTCCTGGGAGAGAGGAACGGCCACTCAGGCAGGCAGCCTACGTGACTGTCACTGGATATTCAAAGCGCAGAGCAACAGCAGAGGGAACATGCCGGCTACGCCTGACCTAACTGGTGGGAGCCCAGGTAACCTGCAGAGGGTGCCACACAGATGGGCAATGGGATAGACAAGAAGGACAAGGACCACCTGCCACACGGGCCGTGCTATGGTCTGAGCATTTGGGCCCCCCCGACCCCGAAAAATGTATGTGTTGAATTCCTAACCCGAGATGTCATGGTATTAGGAAGCGAGGTCCCTGAAAGGCGGTTGGGTCACGAGGGCAGTGTCGCATGAATGGTATTAGCGTCCCTATAAGAGACCCCAGAGAGCTCCTTTGTTTGTCCCTTCTACCACGTGAGGACACAGCGAGAAGTCTGTGACTGGGAAGAGGGTCCTCGCCCAACGCGCGAGCACCTGGATCTCACGCTTCCAGCCTCCGGATTTGTGAGAAATAAATATCCGCTGTTTATCAGCCACCAGCCTGTGATGCGTTGTTGGGGCAGCCCAAACGGCCTCAGACAAGCCGAGAGCCGTGCCAGGCAGGCAGCACGCTGCCCTCGCCGGGGCTCCGGGTGCATGTGCTCGGGGTTCGTTTTTCTGAAAATACAGTCAAAAGGCCTCCTGTTGCCAGGACGGTAGCAAAGTTGAGGGTTTACTCTTTTCCTGCATAACAATTCCACTCTCACTATTCTGGCTCCTCTTCTCTGAAAAACAATTGCAAATAAACTAAGACATCAGCCACATTATACCGCCGTCAGAGCCTGATTACAGATCACATCGGAGCTAATTTGAAAGGGAGAAAATGCGTTGCAGCGGGGCCAGCGCTCAGCAGCGGTGAGCAGGGAAAATAACGCGCTCTTACAAAGACAAGAGGTTGGAATAAGCACTAAATAAAAAGTCCTTTGGCAAGGAGTATGGAAATTTGAATTACAGGACGAGAACCACAAAAGTGCTGAATAAAGAGGTGAAGGGTAGTTATAAAAATATTTAAGTGCAGGCTTCTCTCGTTGCTTTATGTATTTTTATATCTGGAGGGCTCCACCACGACCTGATGAAACTACATTTTAATCAAATTGAAAAGTCGCTATGGGCAAAGTGGGGTAATCACCTTACAAGCAATAAAGTGGCCATAGTGATTGATTTATCGACCATCTGCACAACTCAGCTGCCTTAAAACTTTAAAAGTTTGAGGTTTGAGCCATGCCAAGCTGAAACCTACACCGGCTGACGAGTGCCCAGGGAAGAATCATGTTGCATAAGTAAGTAGCCACCAATAATAAAAGGGAAAGAGTAAAATTAGAAAGCAAAGATTTCACTCTCATTTTTACAAAAACAAGATGGTAATAAGCCTCTTATTATATGTGGTAAAGAAAATCTCTGATGGGAAAAAGAAGATGGCAGACTGTTGACCCTCACCGGGTAGCGGCGGCGGGAGAAAGGCTGGGCCAGCAGATAGAAGAATTGCAGACTTGCACATTGTATCAAAAAGGAGCTCATGTTACCTGAGACTCAACCAAACCTCTAGTGAAGCAACAACTCCAGGCAACAATGGCTGAAACAAAAACTCACTCTGCCCAAGAATGTCCTGCAGAGTCCCATACGTGGGAGCAGCGATTTTCACCAGCGCGCCACAGGAATTTTTAAAACGCGCACTAGCTGACGATTCAGCCAGGGGCACCGACCTCGTTTCCCTGAGACTGTCCAATAAAAAAATGACAACAGCCAACACAATAGCCGTCCGGTGTGAATCAAGCAAAATTACACCTATTTTTTTTTTTTTTTGGTCAGGTCAGCAAAAATAGAATATATTTTTTGGCGCGCTGCAGCAATTTAGCAATGAGTTTATGAGCGCTGAGATGGATTTGAGCGCGCCGTTTCCTCCACCTGGAGCAGCTTTCCTGTCCTCTATCTGAAAAGCTCCTATTCACCCCCGTGACTCTGACCTGTTTGACCCCATCTATGGAATGTGCATTAACTTCTCCAGAGGGAGCTGGGGGCTTCCTCCCTGGCAATCCAAAAGCATGAAAACATGAGTATGTCTGGCGTTTTAAATATCTTTTCCTGAAAACTCCTCAGAGTGTTTACATTATTACAGACTATTCTCTTTGTTCAAAAGAAATCCATCTATTCAAAGTGGAAAGGCCACGAAACGAGAAATTTGTGTGAATCCCGTCTGGCTGTGTGACCTCCGCTGACCCTCGCATGGACTGTCCTCGGGTGCTTTCCACCCCGAACGCGTGACACAGAGACCGAACCTCAGTACCAGCCCCTTTCCCCCCTCAGGGACAAGCAAACGTTTTTTAATTAATCAAAATTATTTGTCTCTGCCCCAGATACTGGTTAAGCCCATGGGACTTTCCAGTAATTTCAGAGCTATCTTCACTGTCAGCTCTTTACATCAGTCATCACAAAGCAGAAAAATCACTACAAATAATAATAATCCTCTTCACTGTTGGCAAAATTAAAACTGGACAGTCTCCGTGACGATCCCGTGACCACCTTCGAAAGCTGTCAGGAAATCTGCGGCCATTACTGCCCATAGCACTTAGAAGTGGGCACTAGAAAGTGTGATGCGGAATAGGTCACCAAATAGTCACAAATATATACACCAGAAGCAAGCGGCAGGAAAGCGGTGGGAGGTGGTAGGAACGGCCCCAGCCCACGGGCACACTTGTCAATGGGAGTTCGCACCGTAGCTGCTACGAAGACTTCGATCTGTCCCCCTCGGACCAAAGGATGACAGACATCAGGGAAATGGGGATTAAGTTGGGAAATTATCACAGGGCACATCCAAGAATCGAGTTCTCCATAGTCTCTTAGTTTGTCCTGTTTCTTGTAGAGTTAAAGTTTTAGCAAGCAGGAGTAGTAAATCTAACATATCCACTTTTGCTACATTGCAGAAACTGCTCTGAGCTGCTCAACCGGCCGGGTGTGGGGGACGGGTCTCCGGTAGCTCGTGGGAAGCATTTTTAAGCATTTCTTTTCACAAAAGAGCTTACCCTCATAGCCAGCACCCAGATCAAAGGACAAAACACACGATGCCCCTTCGTGGCCCCTTCCCGGTCCTAACGGCACCCACTCTCCTGGCCCTCACACCGCGGACTAATTCTGCCTATTTCTGAACTTCATATCAATGTAATATTTTATTTCTCTCTTCTTTTATTCTACGTTATTTAGTAAGACCCATCCCCGTTGTTCAGTGTGATGATCCTTTGTTCATTCTCTTGGCTCCGGTAACTGCACGCTTTTCCTATGAAGGGCCAGATAACAAATATTTGAAGGTCTGTGGGCCACACGGCTTCTGTCACAGGAAAGCAGTCAGAGAAAGTACACGGATTAATGACTGGGGCATTTTCAATCGACTTGACTTATGGACACAGACACTTGAATTTCATATAATCTTCATGGGTCACAAAATCTTCTCTCGGTTGTTCTGTAATCATAGAAGGATATTAAAAACATTCGCACACGGACCGGCCTTGGCCCTCGGTGGGATCAACTGTGGGGATGAACCCCTGTGGGCTTCCCCCTTCGACTGCGGAGGGACAGACATTTGCAAGCTTCCCACTTGGGACCATGGCACATGAGCTGCCATCATTTCGCATTCTTGACACCCACCCATTGATGTGTCATTGGAGACTTTCCACCATCCCCTCCTCTCTCAGCCCGGCTGTGACCAGGCGCCATAAGAATGGGACCACCTTTACACCAGTATCCCTGTCCCAAACCAGACCACGTCGCCTTATCTGCCACCTTGCTCTCTTCACCGAGCCCCCGATGACTTGGGCAGATGGACCGGAAAGTCGTAACACAGGTTAAAAGACAAAGTCTCCAGCCAGCAAGGAAGGCCGGTCACCACAGGGGGGGAAGTGCCAGCAGATTCCTTTGCCACCAACATCTCCTCCCAGTGTCAGGAGCCTTCCCAACAAGCTGTCCTCGTCACCTTTCTCCTTCCTGTCCCTTCATGGTGAGTTACCTGGAGTTAACTGACATTGGGGGGTTGGCTATGTTTCCTGCAAAGAGCCAGATGGGAACTATTTTCAGTTTTGCGGACCATGCAGCCTCTCTCAAAATTACCCCTCTCAGCCACGGCGGTGGAAAGCAACCCCGGACAAGCGGTAAATGGAGGCAAGCGGCTGTGCGCCGTGACACTGTATTTACAGGAACACGCAGTGGGCATCCGCGACCCGTCAGGGCCCAGTCCAAGAGACCAGAGCGTCCAGCAGGCCTGCAGCCCTCAGCAAGCAACAGAAGCCAGCAGAGAAAGCCCCGTGACCCACTGGGAGAAATCCAGAGAGAAGCAGG